CAGTTTCTCTTGCCAGAAATCTGAGTCATTCTTGACTTTTTCTATTCCTTCAACCCCTCCGCCCCAACTCAAGTCTGTCACTAAGTGCTATCTCTTCTGCCTCTAAACCACATCTGAAGTTTTCACACTTCTCTATCACAGCTGGCATTACATTCGCAGAGGAAGTATTATTCTAATAGTATCTTGGTTGCTTTACTCTGTAGTTTTAACACCTAAGTATTTTATTCTAAAACTTTTTGTTGTTGTTGTTTTTAAACTTTATATGAATGAAATCAATCGGTATGTGTTCTTCAGTTCCTGTCTCTAACATTGTTTGTGAGAGTCATACAAGATGTTGTATTTAGCTGCAGTTTATTTTAATGTCTGTGTAATATTTCACTGTATTACTATACTACAATTTTTTATATAGTCTTCTGTTGAAAGAAATTTTGGTTACTTCTGTTTTTTGGTTCTTTTGAATAATGGTACTATCAATATTCTTGTACCAATCTCCTGGTATCCAAATGGGTACAATTCTGTTGAGTGCAGTATTCTACTTAGGAGTGAATTTCTGGGTCATAGGTTGTGCATATATTCAACTTTAGTAAATATTGCCAAACAGGTTTCCTGAATGGTTATACAAATTTCCATCCCTCCCAGCAGTATGGTTTCTAATACATTTTTTGTATGTTTTTGGCTATTTGGACATCCTCCTCTGTGAAGTGTCTGTTCAGGTCTCTTGTCTTTTTTTCTTTTTTTTCTTTAACCAGAGAACATCTGTCAATCCAGGGCATTCTTGGACACCTTTCTCAGCTGGGGAAACTGCCAGGAAGTTACCAGGAGAAGGGCTGTGCTCCTAAGTATTAATTCCTCCACCTCTTGCATTCCACCACCAGCCAGGCCTCCAAATCATTCACGTTAGCTAGAGTGGAGTCCCTTTGAACAATCTATTTGGCATCATAAGAATCTTCTCATAGTTTCTTCCTTCTTCCAAGCCAAACACTACCACCCAGGTGGCTTTTTAAAAATTTGAGATATAATTGACATGACATTGTGTTAGTTGTTGATGTATAATATAATGATTTTACATATATTGTCCATTTTTAAACTGAGTTTTGTCTCTTTTACTGATTTGTAGGGATTTTTATGTATTCTAGATGTGAGTCTTTGTGGCTAACCTTTTGACTCTTTTGATGATGTGCTTTGATGAAATCTAAGGTATTCTAACTTACTAATCATTTTCTTTGTAGTTAGTATATTATTTACTAACAGCTTACATGCTACTAAAGATTACATAGTTAGTATATTTTCATGTCTTTTTGAAGGAGTCTTTATATACCCCAAGGTAATGGAGATATTCACTTATACTTTCTTTTAGTTTTTTGTTTTATCTTACCTATTTAGGAGGCCACATGAGCAAAAACAGGGAAGAAAGTGTGGGATATGTGGGAGATAGTGAGTACACCAGTTTGGTTGGAATAAGAGTTTTTGGAGGGTCTTGTGGGAAATAAAACTAGAAAGTTAGATCAAGGAAGATTGTGTCGAACCAAGGAGACTGAAAAAATGTTACCCTTCTTTATTCTCACATGAGCAGGTATCATTAGCAGTGGCTTCCATCTTACTTTTGTCTCAAGAGGGACCGTGCAATTGTGTGGATGACTCAGTACAAATCAACCACCCTCTTTACCGCCAATAAAACAATAGCAACAGCAAAGCGAAATAAAACAAAACTATCTTATTTATTTACTTTATTTTTATGTTTAAAAAAATATTCATTTATGTGGAGGGTATGTATAACAATATCTTGGCCTAGTTAGATATTATGAAATTACTTCTTTTTTTAAAAAAATACATACAAATCTAGTAAGTTTTTAATGAGTTAGGATAAATAATAGCAGTATCTACTGATACTTCTGTTAAATAAACAAGCAACAAAAAGTCCTTCAAGAAATACTTTTTATTAATTATCTAGTCTTTATATTCCTTTGGAAGATAATATAAACTCTCTGCTCTTACTTTAACATATTTTTACTTAAAATACAGTTTTCCTTGTATGAACATATCCTTTGTACCTGGTTCCTGGAAGAATGAGGATGTAATGTTCTTATAAACTTTTTTCTTAAACACTTGCCTATGTAAAAAAGTGAAGTATTGCCCAGCCGAGATAGCTCAGTGGTTGAGTGTCTCTCTAAAATCAATAAAAATATATTATAAAATATATATATATATTTAAAAAGTGAAGTACCATACTATCTAAAGGTGTGTGTACATATATCTAGATATATATGTTATATACACATAAATTAAAATATTTGTATTTAATTGGTTTCACCAAGTAAGATTAGAGTTGTTTAGTTTTAGTTTAAAAGTAGTTTTGGTATATGATTGACAAATTGTTGATACATTTGATAACTTGCAACTGGAGTTTTATGCTACTAAAATATTTCTCTTAGTTAGTATTATATAACTACAGGCCTGGTGCATGAAATTCGTGCACTCGGCAAGGGGGGCAGTCCCTCAGCCTGGCCTGCACCCTCTCATAGTCCAGGAGCCCTTGGGGGATGTCCGACTGATGTCTTAGGCCCGCTCCCCGCAGAAGCCAGCATTTGGACATCCTTAGTGCTGTCGTGGAGGCAGGAGAGGCTCCTACCACTGCCGCTGCACTCACCAGCCGTGAGCCTGGCTTCTGGATGAGTGATGCTCCCCCTGTGGGAGTGCACTGACCAACAGGGGGCAGCTCCTGTATTAAGCGTCTGCCCCCTGGTGGTCAGTGTGCGTCATACTGACCAGTTTTCTGCTGTTCGGTCGATTTGCATATTAGCCTTTTATTATATAGGACTAGTGGCCTGGTGCACGAAAAACGTG